CACTAATATCTCAGATTCATTCACTGGAGTCCAACGCTGTGCGAGACTCCGACGTGAAGCCGGGCTGCACGTAAACACAACATGTGGTGTTCGGGGTCGGGATCCGTCCTCCTGCGGGTCGCCTGTCATCTGCACGGAGGCGATTATCGAGTGGAAAAGTCCCGGTTTCGCATTAAAACAAGCACACAACCTTGAGGGTGTCATTGAGAGGCCTCCGTTTGACTCCGGCGCCTCTTTAAGACTCACTCCGTCATCCTGCGGATCATTGTTCACCGCCGGCCGGATGGAGTCGTTTGGGGGAGAAAAATGCCCTGTCTCGATTCTGCAAGATTGACTTTCGGTCCCAAACAAATCTTATCTGTTTTGCATGTTAATTTATTCCCTTTTTGCTTCAGATGAAAAAAAAAAAAAAAAACAGTTTCCTTCAGGAAGTTTGTAATAAAAGCCTGGCGATCGATGATAATGGCATTTGTGCTTGTGTTTGTCATCTTCGCAAAAGCAACAGTGGTGGAGTTTCCACAGATTTATTTGTATACTAGTGCTGTAAGTGGCGTGTAAATTATCCTAACTGTCCGTGTGGCCCTTTATCTTTGTAAGCCCGTACTATTAGAGCCTATCCATTAATGCCCATAGCACAGCCAATCAATGTTTAAATAAAAATCAGCTCGGTTTGTGGCGTTTTATGCAAACGTGCAAACTCCCCCAGCAGGCTGACTCTTTGCTTTTTGTTTTTATAATGCAACAGGAATAGCTAAAACACAAAGGAATCGATAACACTTAGGTTTGGGTTGCGTCGGGCGGCTCTCAGACGAATGCTGCACGTTGCTGCATAGGAATGAGCTTCATACAGATGTAGGCCGTGGTGTAATTTCATTATAATTCTATACATACTTAGCCAACACCGGAGTTACAGGGAATAAATCCACCGTTACCGGAGAGGTTTTAGCAACGCGGTGAGGACGATGCTAAACGGCGTTCATGTCCTCTGTAATGACAAGGGTGTTTTTTTACAGGCTACAAATGCACTTAATGTGTTTTTATTTTATTTTAATAGGAATCAGACAGTAGAGATGGAGAATATCTTGCAACAAATGCCGTCGGCTGGAAGCTAAACATGGACGTTGTGGTTTTTGGCTGTAATCTAAATTTAAGCTATTTTCAGGCTGATTAAAATGTCTTCTGTTACGTTAACGTGTGACTTTAAGGACAGTAATGTACATTTTTGGACCGTCTGTCCACCATTTTGGTCCAGACTGAAATTTTTCAACAACTTTTTAACGGATCGGTCTTTGGACACAGCATTCTTGCTCCCCTGAGGATGAACTCCAACAATTTTGATGATCCGTTCAATTCTTCGTCCGCTATCAATTTAATTTTTCTGGTCCATTAATCAATTATCTGAAAAGCAATGTCCTTATTAGCCTCAGCTGTAAATTGTGTTTAGCTGTAATTAGCAAATGTTAGCATGCTAACATGCTAAACTACATTAGATGGTGAACACACCTGCTCAATATTAGCATTTTAGCACATTAGCATTTAGCTCAAAGCACCACTGCAGACACACTGAGCTGCTAGCAGAGCGCTAATTAGTAAGCAAACGGGGGGGAAGTCCAATATATAGTAGCTACATGTTAGCTACATTAGCTTAAATAGTCATTAGCAAATGTGATCATAACAGCGTAACGAACTACGATCTTTATTCCAGCCAGGTCTTGTATTGCAGCTCTGCAGGAAGTTCGTCCGGTTTGAGTTTCCTTCTGCAGAAGATCGACTGATGTCTGTAAGTACGACCATCTCGTTAGCTCGCACGTATTCTGAGCGTTATCGACCAAACAGCCACAAACAGGAGAAACTGAGCACAGAAACAAGATAATAAAAAAAAGAAAAAGCCCAGCAGGGAACAATTTCACGTCATTTTAAAATAAAACGTTCGTCCCATGTGTTGGCAAAATTTTAAATATTTTAGAATAGCAGGAATGTTTTTAATTTTAGAAATTTTATCGCCAACGTTGTCGCTGCTACATGGTCAGATGTGTTTCTAATTTTAGAAATATATTTACAGTATAGTGCAAAAAAATGTATAAAAAAGGGAAGTATTTGTGAAATTCTGATAAAGTCGTAGTATTATAAGTGTGTTTATGTAAAAGAAACTGTTTTCCGTGTTTACACTGATAGGTCACGTAAATTGTGAAGTTTGTGTAAATTTCATTGATATTTTCGTGAACGTTAAAATACAGAAAAAAAGTAAAATAATAATAAAAAAGACTAAATTAAATCTATGTTTACATTGTGTGTGGCTGTAGACTCTTTAGGACTCAGTATTTTCTTAATGTGGCTGTTTTTAGATCAAATGTAAAAAAGTTTGAGGCAGATTTCACCGACAGAAATATTCGAATGTGAAGCATTGCTAATATACCAAAGTTAGAAAAAAGATGGAGGTGAATTTGGCTTCTGGTTTAAAGCGTCTGCCAACAGTCTGCATCCAGCATGTTCACCAGTTTGACGTCCTGACATCGAGGCTAACCGGCTGCTAACCGTTTGTTCTGCTGTTTGTCCGGCTGCACATTTGTCCATATTTCACAAATCGCTCCTCAATTAGTTAACAGCGGCGGGATTAAGGCTCGATCTGCAATCTGCTGCTGCGACTCTTCAGCACCGAGAGGATCAGAGGAAGACCAGCCAGGCTTCTGCTTTAGTCCTTTCTCCTTCCTTTCTTTCTTTCTTTATTCTCTCTCTCTTCATGCATCTTTCTTGTCACCCCCACCCAGAGCGCGAGCGGAAAGCGGTATCAATCACTGTTAACTGACTGACCACTGTCTGTTGGTGGTACTAAATGGATCTCCACAATTGAATAGAGGCCTAAGTGTGTGGTAAATGCTCTGAATGGGTAAATGAATTTGCGGGTTAACTCGCCCTAAGAGCGTTTCAATAAGGCAAAATAATAAAATAATAAAAAGAAAACACCAACAGCACATATTTTTCCTTTTGATATATTAAAAACAAAGTCCGGCTGAAACTCTCTGGCGTTCGTCGTCACCGCCGGCGGGAACAGAGAGAAGCAGTCGAGGAAGTAACCCAAAGACGATTCAGCTTTATTTTCCTCTTATAGATTTGACTGTACACAGTTCATACCATTACACAGAAGGCATAAATGAATAAATTCAGTGCTCTCTTTTACATCTTTTTCAAAGACACATGGCAATAATAAATAGCGCTCATGAAACAAGACGACCAACACGTTGTTCAAACTGTACAAAATTTACAACAATTAAGATGCAAACTTCTGAGGCAACACAGACTGGACGGCGGCGTTTGAATGGAAGTTAAATTTAGTTTACAGCCCACAGATTGCACCGGAAATACGACGGTACCAGCGAAGAACACAAAGAGAGCCACAGATTTAAAGTAAATTATACTGCCAGTACTTTTTAAATTAAATAATTATTGTTCTGATCTCCAGCAGCAATAACGTACACTAGATGTCTTTCTTGTACAAGTCGTTTCCCCAAAGTTGTTTTTAAGTGTATTATAATTTCAAAATAAAAGCTATCACTACTTACAAATGAATAAATAGAATAAATAATTCATTAACGTATAAATACTTCTTCCGCTTTATTCAGTAGTGAGGTTTCTGCTCAGTCTTTCCAAAAAGTGTAATTTAAAGTTAAGCACAAACCCAGAATAGTTTAATGTAGTCGATGTTCACGCTGCAGTCTGTGGGCTGTAATCTAAAGTCTTTTTCTTAACGGTGTCACTTCCTGTTTCTTGATTTGCTTTCTGGTGAGAAAAGAAAAAGAAAAACAAAGAAAAGAAAAAAACAAACTTGGCATTTTTCTTTGCTAAAAGGTGCCCACGTGGATAAATGAGAACGGACTGAGATGTCTGAAGCAAACCAAAACGTTCAACAGGTCGAGTCAAACAGAAACGGATCTGAGTTGTTGCTCGGGAGGCGTTTGAAGACGCAGCTGAAGTCGCCTGAACTGTGATTTGCCCTGAACGCTTTAATCCCCCTGACACGGAGGCAGCAGGACGGCAGCACATCTGGGGGCAGTAAGTAGGTTGATAGCAGGCGAACCCAGTAGATTACCGAGAGATCAGACCGAAGCAACAGAAGAGCCATCACGAAGGGAGCTTTTTATTTTATCTGCTAATACTCATGATGCCTTAACGTCCTCCGCGAAAGGAATGGAAATCTCACACATCTGTGCATTTTATTTTCTTCTCTTTTTTTAAAAAAAAGGGGGACGAACGAATCACCAGAAGTGGAAAAAAAACCTCCTCAAACACTTTTGATTCCCGGCGAGATAATTGAATACTGACAGACGTCCTCTGGGGCCGACGGGAACAAGTCAAGCACCTATAAATATAGAAGAGAGACCTGCTGTGTAGCTCGACAGCGTTCGCCTCCGTCGTCCAAACGGGGGGAGCTTCTACGGACGGACGGACGGACGGACGGACGGACCATCTACTTCCCTACTAACTTGTAAGCTTCAGCAATACATTTAAAAAACATCAGCATGGTTCAAAATTCACACTTGTGCCACAGTTCTTGTAAATTTTCCCTCCCAAAATGAAACACTGTGTTTTTTTTTTGCCTTGTGCATATGTCTCTCCTCTTTCTCTCTCTGTCTCTATCTCTATCTCTGCACTCCTGTCCACACATGTAGAAAAAAAAGAAGAGGAGAGTAAAGTGCATTGCCAATGTAAAGGCTCTGATATGGCCAGACAGCAGTCCTACTCGGTATGAATCAGAAGCATGCAGGTGCCTCCGGGCTCTCGTCGGGGGACTCTGGTCTGAGGTCGTCTCCCCCCTGCGAGCGTAATCCAGTCAGAGAACCGAGAACAGAAAGTCAACCAAAAGATCGTATGATACAGTGTTGAGATTGAACATTCAGCGCGGAGGTGTTCTTCACTGCTTTTGTCCCGGACTACGCACCTCGACTCGCCGAGTCGCGCCAGTCCCGGAGGAAAAACAAAAATGTCAAAAGCCTGCCACGGACTCAAAACTGGGAATGGTCCATCTCGTCCAGCCAGGAGGCCGGGCTGGTGGGGAAGTCGGGGTATCCCGTACTGCTGCCCGTGGAGAGGTCTGAGGTGGGGCCTCCCGCCATGGCCCTCAGAGCCTGGCCCACGCCGCCCGGGCCGCCCGGCGCCACCAGACTGTCCATGCTGAAGCCCAGGTTGTTGAGGAGCGGGGTGTGGCCCGGCAGGGAGGCGATGGAGGAGGGCGACTGCGGGAGGCCGTAGGGGCTCCCCGCCCGGATGTCGTGGTAGGTCTGTCCCGCCGCGTCCACCGAGAAGCCGCCGTTCAGCACCGCGCCGCTCGTCATGTCGCCCACGCTGCCGTACAGCCCGTTGGTGTGGCCCAGATCCGACAGGACCTGGTCGTCTGCAGAGGAAACACTGAGCGTGAAAATCTGAACAGCACACCGTAGTGAAGGGATCGACCGATACGGGGCCGATGTTTGGTGTCGATGTACTTTAAGGTTTTTTGGTTTTTTAATCTTTTTTGGGGGGATATTTTTGTCTTTATTCGATGGTGCAGTCGAGGGAGAGAGAGACCGGAAAGACCATGAGTGGGATTCGAACTCATGACCTCCACGTCGGGGGTTATAGCCCCTGTAGATGGGACACCAGCTCAACCAGGTGAGCTATAGCGGCGCCCTGATACACGTTACGTTGTGAAGGCAGAAAAGCTGTCGTTCAAAACTAGACTTCTTCACGAATGAGGGTCACTGTAGCTGAAAATATAAAATACAAACAGAAGGGATTAAATTATCTCCTCTGTTGTGGATCAACTGAGATCGATCAGTTCGTCTCCTGCAGTTCTTTATTGACTGTTTCAGGTTCATCTTCTAACTTAGCCGCTAGCCGTTAGCGTAGCCGTTAGCCACCATGAGAGAAGCTAACTTCCTGGTTTGTAGCGACGGCTTCTTGTTTAGTTGTGTCTCTGCTTGAGAGTCTTTTTCTGAGACGGAGCGAGGAAGCTGCATCAGACCTGAAGGAGTGCATTTATTGATCAATGATCGGTCAATAAAAACACCAAAAATGCCAAATATCGATAATCATCCAGGCCGATGATCGGTCTACCACTAACACTGTGTTTTATTCCAATACAGTTAAGTGCTTTAGGAGTCCCGTCGCCGTGGCAGCGTCGTGTGGATTTCTCGGAGGAACGCCGAGACTCTAAAGTGTTCAAAAAGCATTTTGGTTCCGTCGTGAGGAAGTGAGAAAGGATGTTGTTCTCCAACGATATTTGTTTCCGTCTCAATCCCTCCCCTGGGCGGCTTCAATAACAACAGAGCCCCGGCGAGCTTTCTCTCTAATTGACTAAAAGCCTCGAATGCTTTATAGAGTTTCTGTCACCATGTTTTCATTTCTCATAAAAATGGCCTCCTTTTTAAAAGTGGCTCCGAGACTTTTACGACTGCCCAAAACGGGGTTTGTGGACATTAAATAACATGGGGATGTCCAAGACGCCGTTTGCGTCCCACTAAGGACCCTCGCTCGCCCTCTCTCTCTCTGTCTCTGTTGCATTGAGCTCCATCATGGCGACAAACAGGAGGATGCGTCAGCGGCCAGCGGGACGTGTGAGGGGAATGTGAAATGAGATGCCATTTTGGATTTGGCTGAGAGCGACGCCGCGCATCCAGGAACGCAAAGGAAACAAATGAAATGCCACAAAGACGCAGTGAATCCCTGCCGTGTCGTTGAGCAGCTCGTGGGCTCCCCGGATCCCATCAGCACCCTGATCCCATCAGAACCCTGATCCCATCAGCACCACGACCCCCCATCAGGGACGCCTCCCTGAAACAAGCTCCACTCACCTCTGAAGCTCAGCTCGCTGTCGCTGAGCCCGGCGTCGTCGGCCGAACTCTCCTTCTCCACTTTGGTTCCTCCTCGGCTGCGTTTGACACTTTTGTAAAACTGAGTCCAGCGATGTCGACCCGCGTCCTTCTTCAGACGCTTCTCCTTCGCTCGCCGGTTCTGGAACCAAACCTGACAGAGATGATGACAAGAACCATGAAAATAATGATCAGAACCACCCAGGACTGATCCAGTTAGTCATAGTGTTTTTGTGGTTTAATCTGACATCAAGTCATTTTTTTTCAAACCAGAAACTCTTGAAACCATTTTGTTTGACCCAAAACAGCATCTTTACTGAATGTCGTGTTGGAATATGATGAAATATAATGAAAACAATCCCCCAAAATCACTTTAAAATACTATTTTAACTGGCAAAACTGGACATTTCTGGCAATAACTATTAAAGCAAAACAAAAAAGTCACTAATATTAAAAACAATCCACCACATTAAAGTGACTTGATAATTAAAGGAGTTTTACGTTTATGTCTGCATTTGTAATTTGAATAATTTAAAAGCCTTTGAGCCCTTTTGTTGTTGCAGCATTCAGAAGCTTTAAAACAAAGATCTGATTGTTTCTTATACATTTTCAAATTATCTTGATAATCAAATTTAATTTTCAGTTTAGTTTCTCACATTACAGAGTTTGGCAGCACTTTGACCCAAAACAGCTTCTGTACTGAATGTAAAGTGAGAATATGATGAACGATGAGGTGCTTGATACAAAATCATGTGTTTATCATAATAAACATGCAAAAAAATCTCAGAAAATAATATTTTAACATGTTAAACTAAAAAGTTGTGGTAAGAAACATTAAAGGAGCACAAAAGTCATGAAAAGAACATCAAAATAATCAAATTAAATTGAAATCTGATGTAAAAATTTAATGGATACCATCTTAAATGTTCATAGTTTATAATAAAAAGAAAGCTTTGAACAGTTCAGAGATGATTGAGCAGAAGACTTCTGATGATTTAAGATGGAACAACACAATATTAATATTAAAAATAAAGCTTTGGGTGTGATTTCACATCGACTAGGTGAGAAAATCCACCACATTAGAGTCAATTTATGGAAAAAGGATCATTCCAGTAACATCTGCATGTGTGATGTGAATGATACTGAAGCTTTTTAGCTCTTTGGGACATTTAGGAGCTCTGACAACAAAGGCCTGATTGGTTGAGTAGAATTATAAAATATAATAAATATGTAGAAGATCCAAATTCCTCTGAACACTTTGGAGATGTTTGGCAGCGGATCAGAAGTCTGGATTCAGGTGGACTTTAATGGAAGAAGGTGGAACCAGCCTGAAGGCCTCATTAGGTTCACGTGGGGATAAAGTGTTGGACCTAAAGTTGGTCTGAAGAAGCTGTTTGTGAGTGACTGGATGCTGCTGCTCTACCTGAACCACTCTCATGTCCAGACCCGTCTCCGAGGACAGCTGCTCTCTGACGTGGCGTGCCGGCTTGGGCGAGTTCTTGTAGGCACTTTTGAGGGTCTCCAGCTGCTTGGCGGTGATGGTGGTCCTCGGCCGCTTGGTCCCCGCCTCCGAGTCGTCTGCAAAAAAAAAAAAACAACACAAACGTGAGCGACTCCTTCTCACATTTGTCACCGGGGGCGCGGCCTCGGCCTCCTGCGCGCGCCACAATGAAGTGCACGGCGGCGCGTGGGAGTGTATTATTGTCCTTGTGCGTGTGTCCCACTCCCACAGCAGAGGACATAAATCTAGCCGGTGCCAGAGGAACGGAGTTATTGGAACCGCACCATATAAGAGCATTGCTTCAATTTACATAATCAATCAGAGTTGCATGGAGATCTGAGAAGCGGGTGGAGGGAGGGGAGGCAGCAAACACGCGCACAGACCAACAGCACGGTCAGGAGCGGTTCTGCTGGTGGAGCGACACCCTCCCGGCACACCTACCGTTCTGCTTGGCCGTCTCATAGTCCACCTTGCACACCAGCCTCCCGTCCTCCATGAGGTAAAACTCGTCCCCGGTGGCCAGCTGTCTGCTGCACATGATGCAGGCGAAGCAGTGCAGGTGATACACGAAGTCCTGCGCCTTCCGCACCACCTGCGTCGGCGGGATGCCTTGTTGGCATGACGCACACTTCGTCCCAAAACGCCTGCAAGCAAACACAGAAGAGGCCGTCTGAGAATCTGGTGCAGGGACAGATTAAAACCTCACATCGTGGCTCTTCAGGTGGGTGGAGGGATGGAACCGCGTCTGTTCTCATAGAAGCGGCGCTGGATGCTTTTCTGTTAACGATGGATCTGTCGGCAGCCTGATGGATGGACGGGATCAATGCGCGGCTGTTTGTGTGCGTGCGCGCATGTTTGCATGTTGATGTGTTTGCAGATGAAGCACTGAGAGCTGAAGAGGAGGAGGAGGAGGAAGATGAAGAGGAGGAGGAGGAAGATGAAGAGGAGGAGGAGGGCTGCTCACAGTAAACACACCCTGAGGAGAACCAATAAAACACTGACTCAGGAGAGGCTTTAAATCACAGCAGCAGCCCACAAAAAAAGAGCAAGGTGAAGCCTCCAGATCACGGCTCAGTCTGTGTGTGTCTGCTCATGCGTGTGCGTGTTTTCATGCGTGTGCGTGTTTTCATGCAACATGCCAGCAGCGACCCCCCCACCGCCCCCCGGGTCAGCTAACACGGTTAGCTCCCAGCGAGGCTCCAGAGCTCTTTAGAGGCCTCCATGGAGCTCCGAGCATTAAAACCTTTCAAACATGATTTAGTAAAAAGCCCAGATCTGCTGATCCTGTTTTGGATAAAAGTCAAACTCAATTTTCTTCTGTAATGCCTCAGAAATCCAATCGTTGAAAGAAGGAGGCGAAATGGCAAAAAGATAGTAAAATAAAAAAGGGATTTCTCATTGTGAATTTATTTGCAGCAGCACCATGATGGAGCTGATGAGCATCAGCATCACATGCAGGAAGGTAATTAACTATGAACACATGAGCAGACACATCCAGCACGGTGCCTTTAACTAAATCATTTAAACATTTATAACAGAGCAGTGAAGGCGTCTGAAAGGCTGTAAAATCATCAACAATCCAACTCAACAAGCAGCTTCCGGTGAAGATGTTTGGTGCAGAAATTAGGAATTTGATCAAATGTTTCTGTAAATAACCAACTGAGATTAAATCAGTTATATTCTGTTATTATGTGACTTTAAAAGAAATGGAAACGTAACAGTAAAAATCTAATAAAAATGAAATATACTAAATGCTAATACTGCATATTGTGTAAATAAACTATTATAATTAAAGACTAGAATAGAATAGAGGCTGATAATATAAAACAACATAATATAATACAATGTAATATAATATATTGAAATATAATGTAATATATTCCAAACTAGTAATTGACACTGAATCCAATTTACTATTTAATTCTAATTTAATTCGCTTTTTATAACAAGAATCGTTCAAATGTTTCTTTCTGTCATATATTTAATTTTTTCTGGTTTTACATCATTTGTTTGGATTTCTTAAGTGATTTATTCTCATTCCTGCTCTTAGGAAAGGCTCAAACACTCATCCTGTGTTTATTGTTAATACCTGCATTCATTCCCATCTGCGCAATTTGCACCAAACTTTCACTTTAAACGCGCTCTTTTGCGCATATCTGTAGCTGTGCAGCGCAGTTAAACTGGTTTTCTTTCTTTGCCTTTGTTTAAATGCATGAATCAGTATTTTGAGAAAAAAGACCCAAACAATGAATTAAATTCTTTCTATTTACGCACATAATTTGGCCAATAATATGACCAGCAGGCAACAGGAGCATCATTAAAACAATGAGAGTAAAATAATGAGAGTAAGAATCGTACTGACTTGAAGAAGTCCTCCTTGCAGTAAACGCTTCCAGCCCGGGAGAAGCATTTGTCCGCCAGCGGAGTCTGACAGTCTGCGCACTTGAGGCACTTGGAGTGCCAGTGTCTGTCCAGCACCTTCAGGATGAACTTGTCCAGGATGTGCTGACTGCAGCCCGCACACTGAGGGATCTCTGCAGGGGAACAGCGGCACAAGGTCAATCCGAGCCGGCACAAGAACAGGTGAAGCTCCGAGCAGACACACTTTCACTTTCATCCACCAGGAAACAGAAACAGGCGTAAAACCAGTGGAGATGAAATCCTTCTGCATGGACCTGCAGCCTGCAGCTCGGTTTTAAAAAGTGCAGAAGCTCAGATCAGACAGTGAAGCTTCTGTTTTATTCACATGCAGCTGTAGTTCTGTTATCTATATATAATAAAAAGATATTTAGGATTACACTGTGATGGAGCAGAACTTCATTCTGTGTTTTAGTCATTTAAATGTCTGATAAACATCATTTAGAATTAGAATTAGAATACAACTTTACTGAATTTAAAGCATTAATTAGTTTTTATAAAGGTTACTTTTTATATTTAAAGATATTTTTACCTCCTTTAATCGTGGTTCTTTCCTATTTATTTTATTAAGTTATAAATTGGTGCATTTTCATAAAACTGTCGTGAAAAAAACACGTGAAATCCACGTTTCCAGTGTTTTGCTGCTCCGTCTCTGTCCAAGGTGCTGATCTGTTCTCCTGCAGCGCAGGAAAAAATAATTTTCTGACGAAATATTGATTTTATTCCTCCTCCTAATTTGGTTAGCCAGCTCTGTCTCGATCTTAATTAATCTGCTAAGGATTTTGTGGAGCAGTGAGGCTGCAGCCAGCGTGAGCAGGTGAGCCGGTTCCTCGGTGTGGATCAGGGTCAAGGCGGGATCACGGCTCGGTTCTGTGGATGTGAAAAATGAAACCTGCAGCAGCAGAACACACGTGTTCAGGACGTTGTTTTAGTGTTTAAAAAATAACAGATTTATCAATTAGAACTGAATTTACTGCGAATTTTTAAAAAACAAAATTCAATTCAGGGAATTTTTCCTTCAAAATCAAAACCAGATTCTATATTTATTCGTTTTCCACGTCTGGATGACTGTTGAATGCAGCCCGACATTACTATTTATATTTATTTTGTCCATTCTAATAAATTACACAAATAACCAGCGAACTAATTTAGCACAAGATGCTCCTCTACCATGTATAAACCAACAATAAATCAACATATTCTGCAAAAAGCATCATTTTTCTTTCTATTCGCAGCTTCTCTTGGTCACACAGCCGTTAGAGAAAAATCAATACAGAGCAGAAATGAGCAGCAAAACCCACCATGAACCTGAAAACACACACATGGAGAGACTCTGAGCTGCAGAGGAAACATCTCGGCCGTGAAATCATCTCACAATAACCGAACAAAGCTGTTTAATCCCATCACAGCAGCAGCTCTGCAGCCACACAGCGTTTATAGGAATGTATATTTAAAAACGCACAGATCCTAATATTCCTGTGCAGCCTTTTGCACTTGGAATTAAACACAATAAATGAAGAGAAAATAGGAATAATTGTGCAAATAGCTCGGTGTTAGAATCGCACCACGAGCTGGTGTTTTAGTGCAGGAGGCAGCAAATGTGCAGCATGTGAGCCTGAAGCCTGAAATCCAGCAAATGCACAGAAAGCATTCAGCAGCATCCTGCACGGACACAGAGTGAAGAAAATCATTTAGAAAAGAGACGTTTTAAATGTGTCTGCATGGAGCAGAGCGGGTGTTTTTTTTGGACAGAGGATGGTGCTGAAAGGAAGCAGCACGACTCTTGGCACCGACAGACAGGAAGCCTCGTGCATTCAGGAGCCTTCTTCATATCTGGTTATCTGTCTGCTGCCTCTTCATCACATTTAACGGGAGAGAAAGAATAAAAGCAGAGGAGCAGCTTCTGTCCACACGCTGAGGGTTTGTGTTCATGTGGATGGAATTATTATTATTATTATTATTATTATTATTCTTATTCTTATTATTATTATTCTTATTATTATTATTATTATTATTATAAATGCACAGGTGCATCCTGTGCTTTTTTTTTTATTCCTGAAATAATCCAGGTTTAAATCCAGGATGAGCGCTGCGGGGGGCTGAGTGGCAGGATCTTTATCCAATCTTTTAATCTTGTCTCGATTTATAAAATTAAAGAGCATAAGCCGACCACATATAGGCTCTGCTGCTCCAGTCAGGTTCGCACAAAACTCATCTTAAATCCAGGGTTGCAGCAGCAGTTTGGCTCTAAATAGAAGAATCTACATTTGTAATTTTTTAAGTTATGTGGAAGCAAAATCTATATAAAAGTTTAAATATTTAATTTTAAATAATTATCAGTTTTGAAATCAAGCAGCATTCCAGTGATTATCTCCCCCCATGTTGCTGTGGATTAATTTTTTGTTGCATTTCTGTACAATTTACTTTAAATAATTAGAGATTATGAAAGGGGGGCCTGGCACAGAGCAGATTAGCTCAACACATGTGAGCTGTTTCTCGTTTCTGATGCTTTAAAGTGGAAAATAATTACAATATTATGAATAATATTTGCTCCAACCCTCCACAAAAATGCCACAAATGAATAATTCTGCTGTAATTGTGACATGTGCACACGCAGGCCTCCCTCAGAGCCTGAAAGCTGAAGTGTTGGGAGCTTCAGCTTTGACCCAGTAACGAGTGTCAGTCAGCGGCTGCGTGTTGGTCTGATGGGTGATGACAACTGCGTCTGATCTCTGACCGTCCAGCCTCGTTTACAAATTAACAGGCGGGAGGTTCAGTGTGAAGCTCGACAACCTGCTGCGAAGTTTGAGGCCAAACTAGAGAAGCTTCACAGCAGAAATCATCTTTTCTGTTGGTTCCCCTCCTATCCGAGGATGGATGGAAGCTTTTTGCGCAGAACACTGGAAGATTAATTGGACCTGCGGGCTGTTCTGCTGCTCGCCTTCGAGGCCGAGAAGCAGCAGCAGAATCTACTTTTACACCCTGAAACCATCGTATAATCGGCCTGTACGTGTGGATCTGGAGGCTCTGGTCTCCTCGGCGTCTCCCTGCTGCAGAAAGCTCCGCAGCGCAGCTCGCCAAGCGGCTGGGAAAAGGCAGAAAAAGGAAAAAGATGTCTTACGTTGCAGTGGCACTCCGAGAATCTCCGGTAAACTCTTCACAGGACTCTCTGTCGGTAGGACCGCCGCACTTTGCATCATCGTGAGCCAAACCGGGAGACAGACACATACACCCGCAGCACGGTGGGCGCGCTCCCCCGTCCTGTGTTGCGCGGAGAAGGAATGATGCTGCTGTCGAGGCCTCGGTCTCCACTGTGCTCCGTATCCTCTCTAATCCCCGGGAACGCTCGTCCGTGCTGCGCCGTGCCGTGCCGAGCTGTTTTGGAAGTGGCTCAGACAGGCTGCTCGGTCCATTCAGCGCTGCAGGGGCGGCGGGGGCCTGACGTCAGCGCGGCGGAGGCTCGCCGGGAGCCAATGGGAGCGCGGGGAGAGGAGGCCCCCGGGGGCGGACGGCATCCCGGATAGGTGTGAGGAGCGCGCAGGAGGAGAAAGGAGAAGGAGGGGAGCGCGCTGTATGAAAATGTCTCCGGAGAGGCGGGACCTTGGTCCTGTGGAGACCATAAATAGCTCACTGCAGTGGCTCCCGGAGGGGCCCCGGGCCAGCAGGGCTCCTCTGGACAGCAGCAGGAGGAGGGTGGCCGAGCGTGCAGCCAGGAGAACGAGGATCAATCAGTTTGTCAATAAAACAATTTATAAAGAAAGAGGAAATCTGATTCCAGAACGCAGGAATGTGAGTTTCATAGATGATCAGCCACACGCACGCGCTCACTGCGTTCCTCAGTCAGCTGGGAGGCTTTTACGCATGAAGGGGTGCATGTGCAACAACCAAAAACTGTAACTGTTCACATTTCCCCTCGAAAACAATCCTCCTCCATCAGTCTAAAGGCGGCAAACTGACGGGAGCCAAACGTGAGGCCACATTATTGGACACATGTCTGAGTCAAATCCACCGCAGGAGCAGCAGCTCTGCCTCTGACAGGTGGGATTAGGAGTCCGGGCGCAGTACCTCCTGACACTGCTCATTTCAGAGCCCGTCGTCTGAGGCTGCTCTCCCGGATAAGATATTCCCTCCGGAGGGCCGCTAGTTCAAGCTAGATGAACTCAATCTTCGCTTCCAATTTACTTCAAGCGCGCAAAAGAAAAGCAGCACAGCGGTGAGCCCCGCCGCCGGTCCGCCTCCAGACCGGCGCAGGGTTTGTTTGCATCGAGTGTGTGAGGTTCCCAGATGAACGTCTGCAGCTCCGCACACCTGGACGGCAATTGTAGTAAATTATAAACAATAAATAAGTTAATTTTTATTCAAGGTTTTCCATTTCTGCTTAATTTTACGCAAATTATTAAAGTAGAACTGAGTCCAGGTGGATTTGGTGCATCAGTTAAACAACATAACAGCAAACAGGCTTCAGACGTTCCTGGAATTGGCAAAAATGACAAAAACGTTTTCAAGTAATACAAAAAAACACGTTTTGCTCATTTTATTAGGTTTTAGAAATGATGCGTAAAAATCACATTAGTTTGTGAAACTGGTAATTTTGGTCAAATTGTTTTTTTCTGTCCAACAAAACTGTTGTGATTTATCCTCCTTTATCTCCTACAGCCTCCATCCTACACACGGTTCACTCTTTTGTCTCTTTATATATCCCGCTGCTGCTGCTGCTGAGACCCACAATCCCATTCGTCTGTGCGCTTAATGTTTCAAATGTAATTTAGTAAAATGAAAACGCACATCAAGCTGATTAAAAAGCAGGCTGGGATATTACTGGAATTTTATCCAACCGATTCAAAGCTGCTGCAGTCTTTCCAGGCCAGGTGTCCATCCATCCATCCATCCATCCATCCATCCATCCATCCTTCTATCCTTCCTTCCTTCCGGGTTGCGCGCATGTGTGGCAAAGAGGGAATCATATGGTCTCACTTTATTTTCATTATACACTTTTCCCCTCAAGATCATTCGATTTATTCCACTATTCAATTACTCTGATTGTTGGTATCGAGGTCCCCACCCTGATTTGGCCACGCTGGAAAACAATGCAGATAAAAATGCTCTTAACCTGTCAGCGGAGGGCAACACAATTAGAATAATTGACGGATGCAAAAAATGCAGAAAGAGAAAAGATGTGAGAGCGAACATCTGGCTGAGCGGCGCAATAAATGATGTGGGGCCGCTTTATTTTTATTTATTTATTTTAGTCCATCTTTAAATGAGATGGCAAAGAAACGTGGCTGATACTGAATGATTCTATAAAATGCACATTTGGGGAAAAAATACTAATAATTCAGACAATTACAGACATAATTAGAGGGTGAAATGTCAGAAAACTGCAAATATATGTGTGTTTTTTGGTCGTTTTAGAATATTAAGCGATGCATTTAAGAGCGGGAGGGAACATGCAATAATTCTGATAATGTAAGAGGTGAGATGACAGATTTTTTTTTTTTATCTATATGAAGGTAAGAAAATAATCTGCAGAGGAAGCAGCAATAACTCAAGCAGAGGGCGACTCCTGCGCCACCGCCGCTGACCCATCCACCTCTAATTAGATCTAATATTTCAGTGCAAGACTTCATTGACATGTGCGACTCACAGATCCATCTTACTGAGCAGGGAGTCCGAAATACGGAAACGCATCCATCCTGCAGCAGCAGCAGCTTTTATGGACTGTAACACAGGTGTGAAGGTGTGTGTGTGTGTGTGTGTGTGTGTGTGTGTGTGTGTGTGTGTGTGTTACAGTCATAAAGCAGCGGCTGCACGAGGCCCTGCATCACAACAAGGCAACAGTGAAAACACTAAAAAATAAAAAAAAAAAAGGTGTGAATTTATTCTCTTTCATGCAGGATTTGTTTGTGAATCTTTTGCGCGCAAACAGAATGAAACGTGATCCGAGCAGCAGGAACTCACCTCCCGGGATGATTACATTTGTGTGCAAATGGCTGCAAAATTAAAATTCAAGGTTGAGCAAAATAAAATATTAAAAAAGAAGAGAAGTGCATGACATTAAAACGCCTTCGCCTCGTGCAGGATGCAGATTTTAGACGTCTGTGGATTTATTCTCAGATGAATCGCTGCTCGGCGCGTCGTGCGGACCCACCTCATCACGGCGTCTCTCCTCTTCCTCCTCCTCCTCCTCTTCCTCCTTCTTCCTCCTTCTTCTCCTCCATGCAGCTCGTTCCAGCAGCAGCAGCAGCAGCACCGAGTCCGTCCACGCGTTTACCGGCGGAACAGCCGCGGAGCAGCGACCGGCACCGTGTCCGTAACCGTCCGGTCCGACAGCAGCAGAGGAACAGAGAGAGGGAGAGAGGAGGCGGAAAGCGAAGGGAAACCTGAGGAGAGAGCACCGAGGAGAAAATTAAATTGCACTTGGGGGGCAAATTCTATTAGGGAATAGTTATTGTCTCCTGACAGCTCCTGTCCATTTGGGTAATTAGTAGAAGAGATTGGTTGAACAAACGAAATCTATTCCCGTCAGAAATGATATTTTCCAATTCCCTGATTGAACCTGACCCCGTGCTGCTAAGACGAGGCGCTAATAGGCTCGTTTCAGTCCGACTAGCAGCAGAGGAGCCGAGAAACCTGCAGCTGGACCACAGCCTTGATTTAGATTCAGCAAACAGCCTGAGAGAGGAGGTTTATTTACAAGATGCACAATCTTAACATAATGTTTTTGGACTAAACAACAACAACACAACAGTTTGCGTCATGCTAAAGAAGGAAGATTGTTGGATCAACTTAAATAATTTGATTTAATTTAATTTAATTTAATTTAATTTAGTTGAAGTTTATCCAGATTAAGTTGGCAAGTACTGATTTAAGTTAGATGTACTTAAATAATTTAATTAATCTCAAATGATCATGGCTGCAACTTCATTTTTTAAGAAAGTCAACTCAAAGGTTTCAATTTTTCCAGCTTCATTATTTACATATAAAGGTTTCCACACTGAGGAGTTAAGAGAAGCTGCAGCTGTAATGGTTTAGATTCTGAGAGAGGAGGTTTATTTACAAGATGCACAATCCAAAAATAATGTTTATTGGCTAAATAACAACAACACACCAGTTTGCGTCATGCTGAAAAAGGAAGATTGTTGGATCAACTTAAATAAATTGCTTTAATTAAATTCAATTAAATGAAGTTTATCCAGATTAAGCTGGCAAGTACTGATTTAAGTTTGATGTACTTAAATAATTAAATTCAGCTCAAATGATAATGGCTGCAACTTCATTTTTTAAGAAAGTCAACTTGAAGTTTCCTGTTTAAATTTCCTGCTTAAATATTTGCATAAAGGTAAATGTTGTCACACTGAGGAGTTAAGAGAAGCTGCAGCCTGACAAGAGCGTTGATTTAAATTCTGCAACAAACCCAATAAAGGAGGTTTATTTTCATGGTACACAGTCTAAACATGATGTTATTTGAGCTCAACAACAAGAAAATCAAGACAACATTTTGCATCAAACTGAAATAAAGAGAATGTTGAACCAACTTTAATAAACTTCTTCAATTGAATTCAGTTGAATTATTCAAATTAAGGTGACAAGTCATATTAAAGCCACTGGTTTACTGATTTAGTTCCTCTCTCATAAACACTTTGCTGGAAATACATTTTTAGTTTAATCTCACTTGAAGATTCCAGTTTTTCCAGCTGACATATTTCCATTAAATGTAAAACATGATCTTGTCATCACTCTGTAATCCTGCTCAAAGGAAACAGTTGAGCTGCAGCAGAATAATTTGAAGCAGATGAAGCAAAACAAAAAAGTAAACCTCATTTTTGCACCTTTGCAGAGGTTAGAGCACCAGTTTAAAAACACCAAGTGTGATTTCAAGTTGTTAGAATCCACAAAGGTGAACTGAAAATCAACAGAACAATAAATACAATTTATTTGACTTTACTTTAACTAAAACACACTTTTTACAGTGCAGTCTAGCTGAGTTCGCTTCTAATCAAATCAGTAATTTCCCAGACTGGGATAAATAAAGTATTTTTCTATTCTTCTATTCTATTCAACCACTAAACCTCCCTGAGTTAGCAGAAGTAGTTTTTCCACTATGACCAACAGTATTTTTAATTACCAGCCTGAAACCCTGAACTCAAGGTGAAAAGGAATGAAGTCATCGAGCCAATTTGAATCAACAAATGCAGAAATGTGATTAATTTGTTTAAGCTGATGCAACATTATGACACCAACACAACACATCAAATCCTCATTATTCATCTAAATCAGTAAATTAGATGTTTTATCTCAATCAGGTGCTGGACCAACATCCTATTATTATTATTATTATTATTATTATTATTAATAATAATAATAATAATATTATCATTATCACAGGCACTAGAAGGTGCAAAGCAGAAATGTC